AAAAAAAAAAAAACAAGCATGCCCAGAAAAGTTAATTTACCTCAAGAAACAAAAGAGCCTCAAGCTCAAAGCAGATACCTTTATCACAATCACAAACTCTCAACCACAGAATCAATCAATATATATACATAAATAGCCTGATAAAAAAGAGAGTATGAGCAACAAACAAGACACAAGAACCAAGTAAAAAACAAACCCAATAAAATTAATCAGAAAAAACAGACAATCACTACACTGAAAGTCCCAAGAAAAGCTCATACCTTTGTTATCTATCAATCCTGAAACAAACCCAAAAGCAAATGAATGAGCCCTCAATCTTTTTACCCCTTAAATTCAATTTCCTTCACCTTTCTTCCTTTTGACTCGTATTTCTTTACCCTTTTTCAAACAGAACGAAAAGAATAAAAAGAACCCATTTTTATTAAAGAACAAAAGGTCCCAACAAGTCCACCACAAACACAGAACGGAAAGGGCATAGCCCTTTAAATATATAGAAAAAAAAAAAAAAAAGGATATAAATTTACTATAAAAAATAAAAAATATTGCAAATATAGTTATATTATCATTTGTTTTTAAAGATCCGAGGCTAATGGGGAACTGAGTTTAAGGCATATATCAGGAGTTTCACTTAAAACCATAAATCACAAACAAATCCTTAACAAACAGCTGCTGAATTGCCGTCCTGCCTTTTGTGGCGTTGCCATCTGATTTGAGCCGTTGGATTCGGCTGTGGGGGTATGGACGGTGGGAGATTGAGGGCTGTTGGGCCGCCAAAAAGTCGCCGTCGTGGGCCCAGTGGGCCACCACGGGGATGTGACGAAATATAACACTTGCATAGGTGGCCCAACTTTTCATAATTGGTTTAAAGTAGGCGAATTTTTTAACATACCACAAGATTTTCAAATATTTGTAAAAATACGAGATGGTGTATATTAATTGCATGTATACTTTATTGCTGTTACTTGGTGATAAAACATAATCAGTTACCTAAAAATCTGTTACCATGTTTAATTAAAAAACAATCTTCCTATAATCATGTTAAATTGAATAAGAAAGGATAAGTCTAAATTACCTAATAATTAGGATTTTGTTCTTATCATGCTCGATGAAAAGACGTAGAATTTTGGTTCTACAAAACATACATGATCACGTAAAATCGAGTGTATATTTCACATATATTTTATGTATATGTGTGTCCCGATCTGTTACTGACTTGAATTACGAGAATCTCAAGTGTATATTTTACGTATATTTTATGTATATGTTGGTTCGGTTAGAGAAACGATTGAAACTTGAGTGTATATTTTATGTATATTTATGTATATGTGTGTCCCAATTTGTAACTGACTTGAATTACGAGAATTTCAAGTGTATATTTCACGTATATTTTATGTATATGTGGGTTCGATTGGAGAAACGATTGAAACTTGAGTATATCATCACCTCATTCACCCCTTCCTTTAAATTCTCCTTCGGTGAAATTCAAGTTCAGAACAATTATTGTCCGCATGATTAACGCAATCGAATTTATTCACCGTCATGTCCATGGATTGAAACAGTATTAGCACGATCGGGCTCGGGGTAGGGTTGCGGCCGGTGCTAGGGCCTGAAGTCGTCCCGACACCAATATCGGCCTCGGCAGATCGTCGAGTCCCGTAAATCGCGACCGATCAAAAAAAGAGAGAAAAACATAAATTAAAGGAGAAGAGAAAAATTAAATGAAAAAGAGCAGAAGAATAAGAAGAAACGGGAGAGGGAGAGATAGAGATAAATCGTGACCTATCGAAAAAAAAAAGAAACAAAAAATCAATGAAAGGAGAAGAGAAAAAAAATAAATGAAGAAGAGTAGTAGAAGAAGAAATAAACGAGAGAGGGGGAGAGAGAGAGATAGAGAGAGATAATGTATGCGGGGATATTAAATCCCATGAAATTAGGTAACAAATCTCAATAAATAAGTCTTAGTAATTTTACAAATAAAAATAATAGTATCGTAGGAATGCAATAAAAGTTTTGGTGTATCGTGTGAGGAGTAATTTTCTCTTTAAAGTAGTTATTTTGTATTTACTTATTTACAGATTAATATTAATTAAACTGAGTTTACCTAATATTGTTGTATGCATCAAATATTTAGGGGCTCTATTCGTTTAAGATTTCGACTGACATTTAGAGACTTTATATGATATGAATTTTGTAATATTTTCAGATTTTAGAGGGATCATGTGAAATCTTAAATATTGAGGTGGGATTTGAAGTGAGATTTCATGTATATATATTTTTTTCTTTATAAATCGCACCAAATCTTAAAAAGTCAGAACAAATTCCAGTGTCAAATACGTTAAATACTTCAAGATTTTGTAAGACTTTTTAAAATCTAAATTGAATATTTAAGACTTTTAAAAGTTGAAAAGTCTAAATTGAATACACCAGAATTTCTAAAAAATCATAAAAATCTTTAGAAATGGATATGGATTGGTAACTTAATAAATAGATATTTATTTTATGATATTAAGATATGTTTTTTTTTTAAATTAATTTTCTTTAATAGAGTTACTAGCCCATTTGAAAATGACTATTTTATTTATTTATTTATTTTGTGGCAAGAAAGCCATTTTTATAGCCTTTTTGTTATGCTATAATTTATAAATGATATCACTTTGGCTTTTTCTCTAACAACGTGACAAACAAAATAAATATAATGATTGAGCAATATTCAAGTATCAAAAAATACTTTGTAGACGATTTTTTTTTTTTTTTTTAATTAACCACCATTTATATTGTTCACATGATTTTCTTAAATAATAATTATTCACCTAAAAAAATATAAAACTATATATTAAAATAAATCTACATGAACCTGGAAAAATCTAAAACTGGTAAATGGACAAAAAATTATCCATTATTTGTTTCTAAAACAATGTTATATTTTATGTGGATGGTACCAATTACCAAACTCCTACCAGAAATCTATATGTATACGTTCACATTGTAGGCTATAGCCACAAAATTTTTCTTTTGACTTTTTAATATTATCAGTTTTAATATAATTCATTGAATTTATGGTACTTGTAAGTACTTCAAAATCTCAAAATATTAAACTTATGGGAAATGTTACGGACCCGTTATGGAACCATGCATTTCGTTCGGGTTTGTAATCGTTAGATCGTCGGGAATAGTTGATATAACGGTTACAAATCCCGACGGAATGATTCCGTAACGGGACCATAGCATCTCCCTAAATTTATATATAATTAGATCTCTTTCTGTATTTATTATCTTAATATGGGTCTGATACATTTAGTTTGTCAAATTGGTTTACTAATTGAAATACAGAATTATGTATTGACAAAATTTTGATTCTTGATTTTAACAATATTATCTATATTTTCAATGAAATTCTGGCTATTTTTATATAGGGAGTTATTACTTATTTACTTAGTCAAATTTGATTCCTTTATATCATAATCACCTAGCAAAAGGGTATTCCCTATTTTTCTTCTTATTTTTCTTGAAAATTCTAAATTCAACACAATAACAACTTTGACAAGAAGGTTGAAAATGGGTTATCACATGAAACCACTATATAGAAACTTTATGACATCAATTGAGTTTTAGTATATATTGAATAAATTATTTCAAAAATATGTATGATTGGGTTTGATGAACTTGCCAAGAGATTATGTTGTGATTGACTGCTTTTGATTACTTCAATTAAATGGTTACATCCAATATGACCTTATCAGCTCATATTGTTTTAGGTTGGTTTTGTTTAGTATTGTATAGTAATTATCTAACAATTCTTAAAAGGCTATAATGTGGTATGTGTCAAACCGGGGCAAAACGAGTGCAATCCCATACAAGTGAAGCGTACCATAAGAGGGTTAACTCAAATGAAGTCTAAGTGAGGTTTCATCCCAAAACCAATTAGTGATGGGAGGAGTAGCCCACTAGACTTATAAACTAGACTCATTTACCCTATCAAATTAATGTGAGACAACTCAAAAGTGATATTCCGAACAGTATGCTTTTAGAACTAGCCATTTTATTCAAGAAAATGTCAAATTATTCAACAAATATATAATTTTATTTAAAAACTATGACAAATTTTAGAATATCATTTATTAAAATCCACAAATTTTACTAGAGTACAGAAAATATGGAGTGTTTTGAAACTTTAAATATATAACATTTCAGATATGGTATTCAATTTCAATGTCTTATTTTCCACATTATTGCTATCCAAATTTTATATAGAAATTACAAATACAATCCAATCAATTGAGTCTAGGGCGCAAGAGAACTTGATTACCATTAAAATTTATAAATCCCTTTTATATATTTCTGCTATAAGATTAAAACTACAGAGGGACTAATCCATAATTATATCAATTACAGTTAGGTACTTGTAATACAGGTAAGAAAATGTTTATAATCATGAAAAGATATCTAAATTTTCTGATTATTACTGGTTTAAAACTCCTTATAAATAAAGTTTTTTTTTTTTTTAATATGCAAAATGAAAAAAAAAATAAAATAAAAAAAAAAATTAAACGTGTACCCCTTGTTGGTCTTTGCATAATTTGCGCATTTTCTTGTACATAAAAACAATTATTAATATTATTATTATTATTATTATTTTTTTTTATATCAAAAGCCTCTCTACCCATCATCTAGCCATCTTCCCCTGGAGTCAATATATTTTAACATCAATACTTTTCTTCATCACAAATTCATAACATATATAGTTTTCCATCATTTTTTCATCATCATTCCGAAGAGGAATTTCTTCATTTGCAGAAATCCAAGGTATCCATTTTATAACAATCTGTGTATTTTTTTCATTTTTCCTGTGTTTTTTTCCATCTATCGTCATGCACATTTCGAATGTTTTTTCGCACGTCGTCGCAATGAAAAGTCGAAAACATTTTGCCGTGCCATGTAAATACAATCAATTTTTTATGGTGTTCGAATGCTTGTTATGGCAATAAATCTTCATTAATCATGAATGAATGAATGAACTTTTTGTCCCCTCTTGATGTTTTATACATTTTGCATCAAACAAATTGATATGTTTGGTGTGAAATTACGGGTAAGGAAAAGGAATAAGTGATTTTCAAGATTGAGTTTTGTTATTATGAAGATGATTATGATGTGCCTAAAATGGAAATGTTGTAGTAACATAAATCGATTTCTAAAATACACGAGTAGATAATTCGACCCTACCACCGTGGAGTCTAAATCGTCAGATCACCCACATATACTCGTTCTAATGCGTGTTGATTGATCTATAGTTCAAACCTCGTGTGCACACACACACATACCCATTCTAATGTGTGTTGATTAAATCGTCATATCACCCTCATCTAATGCGTGTTGATTGATCTGATGGTTCAAAGCTCATGTGCACACACACATATCCGTTCTAATGCGTGTTGATTGATCTAACGGTTCAAACCCCCTATTGATAAAGAAGAGTCCACGTGTCATAAAGATTGATTCTCATAAAATGACAAATTGCATATTGGGAAGGAACACAAAAGTCAATGAATTTTGAGATAAATTATGTCTTTATTGTTGACATTGCATTTGCATTTATCAGCATAGAATGCCACCTACAAATAATGCAGGCAATATATATATTTATATTTATATATTCATAATTATAAATAGATGGCAACAAGAAGAAGAGACATTGCTCCAGGGAAGCACACAGCAACCACACAGCTAAAACCAAACCCAAACCCAAACTTACCTTCCAAAACAAACTCGACTGCTCAAAACCATGAACTAATCTCATCAAGGAAAAACACTCCAATCCGAGCCCGACCCGTTTCACTGGGCCCGACCAGCAACCTTCACAACAAGCAACATCCAACAAAAGTGCTCGACGGGACCCCATTACTGTCACGAAAAACAAACGATTCAACCAATCCGCCAAAACCATCAACGTGGGCCCGGAACAAGACTCCACTCCCGGCCCAGAAGAGACAAGTCCAGCCCTCTAACCCACCGACCAAGGCCCGAGACAAGACTCCGCTCCCGGCCCAGAACCCGCCAACCGGGGCCCGGGACAAAACTCCACTGCCGGCCCGAAAGAGACAAGTCCCGATTAATTCCTTAAGGTCCAGAGACAATACCCCGAAACCCGAAAGGAAAATGCAAGTCCCAACTAATAATAATACATCTATTAAGCCTCACGACAAGACTCCACTTCCCAAACGGCAATCGCTAGTCCCGACAAATTCAGCTAGTCGGCCTCGTGACAAGACACCTGCGCCTGCACGAAAAAAAACGCAAGTCCCGGCAACTAATCAGCCAAGCCGGTCTCGCGACCGGACCCCACTTCGAAAAGCGAATGCCCCGAAAAACCCATCTCCTCGTCTCTCTTCGATTCCCGAGAAAAACAATTCTGCTTCTCAAAAAAGGGGTCCGAGCAAAAATCCGAAGCCGCTAAGTAAAGATGCCGAGAAACTACATTCTTCAAGTGTTGAACCCGTAAGCTCTACTTTGAACATGAAGGAGCAAGAGAATGAAAAGAGCGATTCTTCATCAGAAAAGGAAGTTATAGCAGACGGTCAACAAGCGAAGGTTGAAATTCCAGATATGTATGAAAATGTGCCAGAAGTTGAGTTGCTTCTGGAAGATCAAGAATCTTTCACTCTTCTTGAAGGTGAGAAGCAGATCGCAAAAATCCCGAGAGAAGACGAAGAGGGCACCATTGATTTAATGCCCGTGGAACAAGAAAAGCCATTGGATCTTGCGCTGGTTGACAAAGAGAATGATAAGGATGATGATAATAGTGATGCTAAGGAGGATGATAAGATTGTTACTGACGAGCCTTCTCCTGTTGAAGAACAAGAAGAGGCCCCTCTAGATGTCAAACCACAAGAATTGGAAGAGAAATTGTGTGCTGAAGAGAAATCAGAAGAACAGAACCTACACGAAATAGACAACAGCAATGATGTCGTTGAAAGTGTTGCAGAAAGTTATCTGAAAGAAGACAATGAAGAGAGGGAGGTTCAAACTGAAGAAGCTGAGGTGGTGGAAAAAGAAGAAGAAGAAGAAGAAGAAGAAGAAGAAAAAGAAAAAGAAAAGGTGCCCGACAAGAAAGATGAAGTAGCTAGCGAGGGCGAAGCTGTTATTGAGCCCATTAAGAAAGATGAAGTAGCTAGCGAGGGCGAAGCTGTTATTGAGCCCATCGAAATAAAAGAGCAAGTGGTTGAGAAAAAGAAACAAGAACCGGAAAATGTACCTTCTCAAGCAAAAGAGCAAGAAGTGGTTGAGAAAAATAAGCAAGAACAGGAAAATCAAGCTGCTCAAAAGCAAGTAGTACCGAGGAAGAGGGATTCCGTGGTCTCAAATGACATGATTGAGGAGACCGCCAACAAATTGCGTGAGCAGAGGAAGAACAGGGTGAGGGCTCTTGCTGGGGCATTTGAAAGTGTGATATCTTCACAGTAAAGCAAGTCGGTAACACAATATAAGTTTTCAAATGGGAAAAACTTTTTTTTTTTTCGTTTGGGGGAATTCAAGGATAGTTTTGGTAGATTGATTCTATTTCATGTTTGATTACTACAATGATATTGTTGTCTGTTGTTTTTATAACTGTTTCTTAATCATTCGTCATTGTAGGACATATGACAAATATATTTTTTTTTCCTTTTTGTTCTAGTCACTTGACTTGTGGCAGATATTTAACATTGAAGAAAACCATCTGTGTCGAGAGATTCTAGATTTGATGGTTGAGGTAAATCGATGAAGAGTACTATATTTATCTAGCCTGATTACAGGTTCTAGCTTGACAACTCGAATTACAAAATTTTCCCTTCTAAACGGTTCTTCTATTTTTTGACACTATAATTTTGTTTTGGAGCCAGACCTTCTAAAGAGGACTGAAAATGAAATAAATATGAACCAATAGAACTCGAATCAAATAATTGTATTGCTATTTGACAGGCAAAACTGGTCATCAGCCACCTCTAATGAGCTTTTGGTTAGCTTACATAGTTGTTCATAGGTAAAAACTCCTACAGCCCTTGAGCTCGATCTAGAAGATATTCCATGATAATCAACACTTTTAACAATTATTACCATTTTGTACCTTTTCTCTAACATGAGGTCAATGACGGAGCCAACTGATGTTGAGCTAGTGACACAAGGTGGTGGAGTCCTCATCAGTGTTGAGAGTGGGGCATCTAGCTGCATATAAAAAGCCATACAATACACATAAGACAAACAAAAGGAATAACACAAGAAATAAAAAAACGAACAAATAAGATGAGAAACACAAAAAGAAAGATAACAGTCGTCCAGTAGGATTTACTTTGATTTCGAGTTGGCGCTTGGATATAAATTTTGATTTTGTTTGGATTTTTAGGTTTGGTATGCTTAATTTTGAAAAAGTGGTATGGTTAGTTGTTAGTGGGATTTTGAGTTTATATTAAAATAATATTTAAAATTGATTTGATGTAGAAGTAGGAGAGAGATGATGTGAAGTGATGGTTAAAAATGTACTAATGCCGTGGCACATAAAAATTAAAGAATTCTGAGAGAAAAATAGGAAATCCAATGTCTTATCGAAATTCTCTTTTTTCCCTCCTAATTTCCAAGGGGTATTGAGAGATGAGTACCATATGACAGTCTTCACGATGCAATATCCCCACACAGTCCCACTCATCCACAATGGGCACCACAGAATCCTTAAAAAATCGCATAACCACTTGCTTCAGTCTCAAAGTGGCTTGAAGTGGCGAAGCTTCGTGAAATGGTATCATGATGTCCGCAATTGCAGCTCTAAGTGATACCTGGTATTCAGATATTTTAGATAATTTTAGACTTTGAGTTGTGCTTAATTGTCTCCAATATCATAGTACATCGGTATCTACAACTCGAAATAAAAGAATCTAACATACCTGAGGAAGTACACAAGGACCCAAAATTGATTTGTTCAAGCCCATTAAAGCCTCAAGTCGTACAGTAACCTGAAAAAAGTGATGCATTGAGTTATGAACAAAGCAGTAGAATACTGCACCAATCCATGGATCTTGAAGCATCCTGAGGGAGTTTGGGAGAGATTATTTATAGTATCTTATAAACTCCTACATATGATAAGGTAGTTTTAGTGCTTATAAGATTTTTGAACCTTAAATAAGTTGTTGAAATGTTTGGATAGCTTATAAATTGCAAGTAGCAGCATTTGCTAATCAAAATGGTTTCAAGTAAGAACTGTTCTTCAAAATAAGTTTGGACACCTGAAACTTTGAAGAAACAGCTCTCACGAGCTCCCAACATCATACGTGGGGAGCTTATAAGATCTTCTTGATAGAATACTGGAGAATGATAAATCGCATTCAGATTTCAAATTAAGGACAGTAGTTTCCTTGTATATGGTAGTAAAAATGAAGAATTCGCCAGATTAGACAAATCGAGCTAAGTTAAGAGAGAAAAAAAAAATAAAGAAATAAATGTGCAAGTTAGTACGCCAGATTAGACAAATCGAGCGAAGTTAAAAGAAGGAAAAAGTTAAAATAAACATGGGCTTGTACCGTGTTTTAATTTCTGATCATGGATATAAATAAATGGATATTCAAGTGTGAAACCCAAAATCAACTGTGCATAAATTTAAAGAAAAACCAGATGTTTCTAGTATGAAACTACCGCCTCATCCTTTATCCATTAAGACAAACGAAAAACAAAAAATAGAGCACTTTCTGAAACTTGTATAGAAGTAATATTTCCCAGATGCAGAGAGTATGACGACCACATCATACCATGCCACCTCGACTGCTCCATGATATCTCCCTCCAATTTCGCATAGCCTTCTTAAGTTTTTCTAAAGCCAAATCAACCTGCAGAAAAATCCACAACTAAGTGCATCAATAAAGCAGAATTTACATTAACAAGGGATATATGTAAAGGAGATATATAATTCCTAAAGAAGAGGCAACGACTAGAGAGAAGCCAGAAAAAAGGGTAAGAGATGTGCGAAATACGCAGCTTAATAAAATAATTATATTGTTTGTGTGGAAGTTCCTTGAATTTCAATAAAAGGCTTCAATAAAAGGCTTAAGAATTGAGTAAAATCAAGAAATATAATAATGAAATAATGAATAGAATACCACCTAGGTTTTTATAATCTTACGACTGAGCATGTAACTCCACTTACCCGGCCTTGATTTAAGGCTGCCTCCATCACAAGCTGATCGGATTCTGCCTGCATAGCAGAGGTGATAGTTCCTGCTGAATCAAACCACATGCGTTCCTGGAGTCTTCGAACCATGTTGTAGTCTCCCTTAGAAGCAAATGCACGCATCATTGAGAGAAAGAGATGAGGTTTTGGCCTTGACACCTTAGCTCGTTTTATCATCTCCCCAAAAATGCAAAGAGCACCTAACAATTTTTACAAAAAGGACTGCATGAGAAGCTGATAGGCTCAAAACAATACTAAGCATATAAATAGTGAAAAGCTTTTCTATTGTAAACAAGCAGACTATGCTTTCATAAAAAAATCAAGTGAAAGTGGAGTTCAACATTCGTATCACATAAGAAATTAACAATTTAAACTGATTCACATTTGTGACTAAACAATTATCCTTTAAGACCATGATATGGGCCCATCTAATGACTTTTGAAACTTGTAACACGATCAAGAGATAGCATACCTCTAATTGATCCACATTTTAGCAATGCATCAACAATCGCAGTGTATGCAACACGATCAATATGAATCTTGTTGCATGATTTCAGTTCTATCAAGATCTTTTCCAGTGAACAAGTATCTTTGGCGTGCCCAAAACCCTGCAAACAAGATGTCTTTGTGTCATCATAGGCATAACCACCGGTTAATCAGAAAACGCGTATGCATGCACAGAAATAGCCCTATGCAAACAAGAGTACAAGACGAACCCTGATATATGAACCCAATTTGATATGAGTTTTGCTCAATTAGCAAAAGAAGTAATCTGGCCACGTTCTGGATTAAGACTGCAGAGATTTAGAGGATGGCTTATTACTACTCTACATAACTATATACGGTGGTGTTGAATCAGACTGACCTGCACTAACGTGGTGTACGTAACTAGGTCTGGTGAAACATCAAGCCCCTCCTTCAGTGCATTATCCTGCAACAAACAACGGTAATTGTTGAAGAAACTGACTGTTCACTTTGTTCAAATATTATACATTATGAGGCTTTAAACTAGCCTTTCAGACACGTGCATGAGACCTTCATTTGCTCAAAAAATCGCATTGCTGCCATTAGATTCTCACTCTTGATGCATGCAAAAATAAGTGTATTGTAGCTGAGCCTATCAGGGTTCAGTCCATGTCTCAGTAATTCATCATGTACACCCAATGCTGAATGAGGACAACCGGAGGTTATGTATCCCTGAAGAATGAAAATGTGTGTCATTCAATTTGCCAGATTTTAGTTCTCATCGGAAAAACATGGGAACTGTTGGTAACGGAAGAAAGAAAAAGAAACACACAACTCCACCAAATACTTGATATGAAGATTAGATTCCGAAAATTACCTTCATTAATAAGTTAAAAATCAAAATTGATGACTTTCCACCTTGAAGAACGTAACCATATCTTGCAAGGAGTCCATTAGCACGTCTGAGGTCCCCTGCACTAAATTGTCGGGTACAAAGAAGCAATCTTAGCAAAATCAATGTAAAAAAGTAACCAGAGACAAATATAATCTTTAATAAATGGAGGGAACGACATTTTCGCTTAACAAAAAGAACATTGCGATGCAACTGTGACAGAAAGAACAATATTGAGAGGAAAACCTAACCTGATTCAATTAATGCGTTCAAAAGACCACAAATTAGTGATCCAGACAGCTTTGGGCCACCAACTGCAGTACTTTTCTCGACAGTCTCGAGCACTTGAAATGCTTCATCTATTCTCCGAGCATCACCCAAACCCTTCCATGAAAGATAGATAGCTATTAATCATGTTCTATGCTCTTCAACAAGTGACAACCCCCATTTCTCAATGAGAATGCCGAAAATTGCAACAAGCCCGGCACGCATTCAGCTACCGGGCAAATAAAAAGCTCACAACCATGCATAATCTCTAAAACTGAAGCTCTGAGTACCTTCAAAAGCGTACTATACGTAACTACATCAACCCCACAGCCATCTGGCTTAGACATTTCGTCGAACACTTGAAGAGCCGATTCAATGTCGCGGCAATGAACGCAAGCTTCCAGAACGGCGTTCATGACGATTATGTTGAGCTTGCCATGTTCCTTCTTCGCGGTCTGTATTTCCTCAAATATCTAAAGCACCCAAGACAGACCCCAAAAAACAAAGAAGGTATTTTCAAAAGCCTATATTATCAAATTAAAACGTGATCGCATGCGCGCTTGACGAAAAAGATCGCTGGAAAGGACCTGAGCGAGCTGTCGCCGGCGGGTAAGCTGCACGACTCGTGACGTCAGGGGCTTGAGATTCGGAAAGTCCGATGTGGAGCGGCGGGGATGGCGCGATTTTTGGGGTTTACTCGGGAAACGTCTGTCTGGATGCCTGAGATCAGCCACCGTACAAGGAGTGAGTGTCGGAGTTAAGGACGCCGCCGGCGAAGGAGGTAAGAGTCGTGAGGCTCCATGAAACGGTGGATTGCACGGCAGCGGCAGCATATGCATGTCTAGAGGTTGGCCGGAGTTCAAGAAAACGCCATTACCGGCGCACAAATAGGACTAAAATGTCGATTTGAAATCCAAGTGACAGATATTGGTCGAGATGAGAGGATAATGTTCCAGAGTAGAGTAGCCTCACTGGATAACACAAGAGTTTTATTATTTTTATTTTTACTTTAAGGAAAAAAAAAAAAAAA